TATTCAGTAACACTGAAAAAATATAAGCAGCAAATTAACATTGTAGCTAGAAAACAGATAGGCTTTATTGAGATACAATTTACATATCAAAAAACTCACCCCTCTAAAACATAAAATTCAGTAGTCTTTAGTATATTCATAGAGTTGTGCAACCATCACCACAATCAATTTTTGAACATTTTCATCATTCCAAAAAGTACACCCTGTAAGCTTAGCAGTCACTCCACGTTCCCTCTCACGCCAGTTCCTGGCAGAGACTAATTCTGTCTCTACGGATTTTCCTATTCTGGACATTCCCTATATACGGAAGCATATAATGCATGGCCTTTTGCGTCTGGCTTCTTTCATTTAGCTTGATTTTTTTGAGGTTTATACATGTGGTGGCATGTATCAGTATTTCATTCCATTTTATTGCCAGGTAGCGAGTGTTCCATTGCATGAATATGCTACATCGTGTTTATCCATTCATCACTTGATAGGCATTTGATTTGTTTCTACTTTTTGGCAATTATGAATGATGCTGCAATGAACATTGGTGTGAAAGTTTTTGTGTGAACATATGTTTTCAGTTATCTTGAGTGTATACTTAGGAGTGAAACTGCAGGGTCGTATGGTAACTCTATGTTGAACTTTTTGAGAAATTGCCATACTGTTTCCCAAAGTGTCTACCACATTTCACATCCCCACCAACAATGTATGAGATTTACAATTTCCCCACATCCTCACCGACACTTGTTATTTTCAATTTTTTTTAACTATAGCCGTATTAATGAATGTGAAGTGGTATCTCACTGTGGTTTTGATTTGGGTTTCCCTAATGATTTATGATGTTGAGTATTGGCCATCTGAATATCTTCTTTGGAAAACTGTCTATTCAAATCCTTAGCCTATATTTATTTGTCTATTTATTATTTAATTATAAGAATTCTTTATGCATTGTACAGGTGCTTTAACAGATACATGATTTGCAAATACTTTCTCCTATCTGTAGACTGTCTTTTCACATTCTTGATGGTACCATTTGCACACAAAAGTTTGCAGTTTTTATAAAGTTAAAGGTTTTTATTTTGTTTTATTTTTTGTCATTTGTGCTTTTGGTATTATATCTAAGAAATCTTTGCCTAACCCAAGGTCATGGATATTTACTCATGTTTTCTTCTAAGAATTTTATAATTTTAGCCCCTACATTTAAGTCTATGACACATTTAAAGTTAATTTTTGTTTGTGGTATCAGAGAGGGTACAACTCAAAATGAGAAGAAACAGCTTCAAACATCCATTAGTAATCGGAACGTGGAGAGTTGTCATTTTTGTTGTTAGGTGCCCTCGAGACAGTTCCAACTTACAGTGACCCTGTGCACAACAGAACGACATACTGCCAGGTCCTGTGCCATCCTCACAATCATTGCTATGTTTGAGCCCATTGTTGCAGCTACTGTGTCAATCCATCTTGTCGAGGATCTTCCTCTTTTTTGCTGACCCTCTACCTTACCAAGTATGATGTCCTTCTCCAGGGATTGGTCCCTCCTGATAACATGTCCAAAGTACGTGAGACGAAGTGTCACCATCCTTGCTTCCAAGGAGCACTCTGGCTGTGCTTCTTCCAAGACAGACTTGTTCGTTCTTCTGGCAGTCCATGGTATATTCAATATTCTTCGCCAACACCGTAATTCAAAGGTGTCAATTCTTTTCCAGTCTTCCTTATTCATTGCCCAGCTTTTGCATGCATATGAGGTGACTTAAAATATCATGGCTTGGATACGGTGCACCACAGTCCTCAAAGTGACATCTTTGCTTTTCAACACTTTAAAGAGGTCTTTTGCAGCAGAGTTGCCCAGTGCAATACATCATTTGATTTCTTGACTGCTGCTTCCATGGACATTGATTGTGGATCCAGGTAAAATGAAATCCTTAACAACTTCAATCTTTTCTTTGTTTTTCACGATGTTGCTTATTGATCCAGTTGTGAGGATTTTTGTTTTCTCTGTGTTGTGGTGTGATCCATACGGAAGGCTGTAGTCTTTGATCTGCATCAGTAAGTCCTCTTTCTGTTCAGCAAGCAAGGTAGTGTCATCTGCATATCATAGGCTGTTAATTAGCCTTCCACCAATCCTGATGCCCCGTTCTTCTTCAAATAGTCCAGATTCTCAAATTATTTGTTCAGCATACAGAGTGAATAAGTATGGTGAAAGGGATACAACCTTGACACACATCTTTCCCAAATTTAAACCACATGATGTCCCCTTGCTCTGTTTGAAAGATTACCTCTTGGTCTATGTACATGTTCTGCATGAGCACAATTAAGTGTCCTGGGATTCCCGTTCTTCCCAATGTTATCCATAATTTGTTACGATCTACATAATTGAATGCCTTTGCATAGTCAATAAAACACAGGTAAACATCTTTCTGGTATTCTCTGCTTTCAGTCAAGATCCAGCTGACATCAGCAGTGATATCCCTCATTCCACATCCTCTTTTGAAATTGGCTTGAATTTCTGGCATTTCCCTGTTGATGTACTGCTACACTGTTTTTGAATTACCTTCAGCAAAATTTTACTTGCATGTGATATCAATGATACTGTTCTCTAATTTCCACATTCTCTTGGATCATTTTCTTCCGAATGGGCACAGATATGGATGTCTTCCAGTCAGTTGGCCAGATAGCTGTCTTCCAAATTTCTTGGCTAGAAAAATGAGCATCTCCAGCGCTGCATCCAAAATGAGAAAAAATAGCTGCAAACATCCATTACTAATTGGAACGTGGAAAGTACCAAGTATGTATCTAAGAAAATTGAAGTTGTCAAAAATGAAATTACATGCTTGAAGATCAATATCCTGGGCATTAGTGAGCTGAAATGAACCAATGTTGGCCATTTTGAATTAGACAATCATATGGTCTACCATGCCAGGAATGACAAATTGAAGAGGAATGGCGTTGCATTCATGGTCAAAAAAAACAATTCAAGATCTGCCTTGAAGTACAAAGCTGTTAGTAATAAGATAACATCCACAGGTCTATAAAAATCAGTGAATATGATTATTATTCAAATTTATGCAACAACCACTAATGCCAAAGATGAAGAAATTGAAGATTTTTACCAATTTCTACAGTCTGAAATTGATCAACCATGCAATCAAGATGTGTTGATAATTACTAATGATTGGAATGCAAAAGTTGGAAACAAAGAAGAAGCATCATTATTTGGAAAATATAGACTTGGTGATAGAAATGACACCGGAGCTAGCATAATAGAATTTTGCAAGGCTAATGACCTAATAACTGAAAATACCTTTTTTCAACAACATAAACGGCAACTACACGTGTGGATCTTGCCAGATGGATTACACAGGAATCAAATTGACTACATCTGTGGAAAAGGATGATGGAGACGCTCAATATCATTAGTCAGAACAAGGCCAGGGGCCCACTGTGGAATAGACCACTAATTGCTCATGTGCAAATTCAAGCTGAAGCTGAAGAAAATTAAAACCAGTCCATGAGAGCCAAAGTATGACCTTGAGTATATCCCACCTGAATTTAGAGACCATCTCAAGAATAGATTCGATGTGTTGAGTACTAATGTCTGAAGACCAGACAAGTTGTGGAATAACATCAAGACCATCATATAGGAAGAAAGCGAAAGGTCATTAAAAAGACGTGAAAGAAAGAAAAGACCAAAATGGATGTCAGAATAGACTCTGAAACTTGCTCTTGGATGTACAGTAGCTAAAGCAAATACAAGAAATGATGAAAAAGAGCTGAACAGAAAGATTTCAAAGGGCTGCTCAAGAAGACAAAGGAAAATATTATAATGAAATGTGCAAAACTCTGAAGTTAGAAAACCGAAAGGGAAGAACACACTCGGCATTTCTCAAGCTGAAAGAACTGAAAAAAAATTCAAGCCTCGAGTTGCAATATTGAAGGATTTTATGGGCAAAATATTTTGTAATGCAGAGAGCATCAGAAAAAGATGGAGGAATACAGAGTCACTGTATCTAAAAGAATTGTTCAACATGCAACCATTTCAGGAGTTAGCATATAATCAGGAATAGATGGTACTAGAGGAAGAGGTCCAGGCTGCACTGAAACCAAAAACCCATTGCTGTCAAGTCAATTCCAACTCATAGTGACCTTATAGGACAGAGTAGAACTGCCCCATAGGGTTTCCAAGCAGCCACTGGTGGATTCGAACTTCTGACCTTTTGCTTAACAGCTTAACTACTGTGCCACCCAAAAACCAAGGTTACAGGAATTGACTGAATACCAACTGAGATAGTTCAACAAATGGATGCAAAGTTGGAAGCCCTCACTTATCTATGCCAAGATATTTAGAAGACAGCTACCTGGCCAACCACATGGAAGAGATCCATATTTGTGCCCATTCTAAACAAAGGTGATCCAACAGAATTACAACATTATCAAACAATATAATTAATAACACATGCAAGTAAAATTTGGCTGAATATAATTAAAAAATGGTTGTAGCATACATGACAGGGAAATGCCAGAAATTCAAGCTGAATTCAGAGAGTTCATGGAACGAGGGATAACATGGCTGATGTCAGATGGATCTTGGCTGAAAGCAGAGAATACCAGAAAGATGTTTAAAAAAAAAAAAATGTTGCCATCTACAGAAATATATATTTGCCCCAGCAGTGCCTCTCTGTAGTGAAACTTAAGCTCTAATTGTGTAGAATGACTTCTTGTTATGTAGCTGAAAAGGACAAAGATGAATTAAAGACAGAAGAGTGGATAAGGTTTAGATTTGTGGAGGAAACACTGGAATAGAGTCAGAGGACAGAGGTTTGGAGAAAATGAGAAGCTCAGGATTTGAAGGGACCTAATAGTGTATGTGGTTTCATCAGCTCGATGCTTGAATTGCCATGCAATATCCCTTCCAAGTAGTAGTTTATAGTGTACTTCGAGATAGGTCAGTAACCAATGGTGTGGCCCAAGGCAGGTGTCCCTAAGTTTCTTGTTCTTTAAAAGGAAGGTGTTAAGTGCTGGCTTCAGCAGCACATGTACTAAAATTGGAATGACACAGAGAAGATTAACATGGCCACTGTGCAAGGATGACACACAAATTCTTGATGCATTTCAGGTTTTTAAAAAAAGAGACAGTAAGATTTTTATGAACTATAATTTTCTTTGAAGTTTTAAGATTTCATGATGCCATTTGATAATTAAGTGATTTTTTGAAAACCGGCACTTTCCAATAAAGTAAAAATGGTAATATGGCCCTGTTATTGTTAGGTGCTGTCAATTTTCAACTCATAGTGACCCTATGTGACAGAATAGAACTGCCCCATAGGGTTTCTTAGGCTATAATCTTTATGGGAGCAGATCTCCAGGTCTTTCCTCCCCAGGAGTCACTGGGTAGGTTCGAACCTCCAACCTTTTGGTTAGCAGCCGAGTTCTCAGGGATCCTGCAGTATTACCCTAGCAGCATATTTTTATGTTGCAAATATTTTCTTGCATAACTCATGTTGAAAATCTTAGCTGAAAATATTTATTAATTTAATATGTCCTTACAGTAGCCCATCAATGCTTCTTAGGTAAATGTCATTGGTGTACCTACCAGCAGTGGTTTGCTTGAATTTACAGACTACTGGATTCCTTTGAATGGAAATTTGGGGAAGGGAGGGGCTGTTGGAAGTCTAGTCATTATTATCATTATTGTTAGTGATATTTTTCAGTCAGATAATTTTCATGTATTGCCACAGTGCCTGGCAATGTACCAAGATTTATCTTACGTTATTCACCAAAAAAAGCTAACATCTTTTATTTTTTTTTTAATCGACAAAAAAAAAAAAAAATTGATAAGTTAATTTCTTCCCCAAGATTTGCTGAAGTCTTGTTTCATGAGGTCATCTTATATAAGAAGCTATCTCCTGTGTGAGTGCGTGTGTATGTGTGTGTGCGCTGTCATTGGCTATTAACTTTTTATTGCATTTATTGAATTTTATTGAGGCATCATCTTATTTCCTCAAGCATCCGACTCTCTTCTCTGCTGAGTTCCCCATAGAAAGCTGATGTGTATGTCTGGGAGCTTGGAGTTGTCCCGTTATCTCCATTTGTCATCAGTAAAATTTTGGGCAATAGTCAGCGTTGAAACTGATCCACACAACTCCAGGTATTTATGCAAAATAATGGGTATTTATGCAAAATAATTTAAACAGTTTTGTGTTAGTCCTCACTGGTGTCTTCCTGTTAGTTTCTAGACTGTTTGCATTACCTGCCATAGCTGTTTGGAGATAGATGTACACAATGGCTTAGCCTTAATACAACATTAGAAAAAAGGGCCTGATACAAGCCAACAAAAGCAAGGAAATAAGGAATTACTTAAAAGAAAATTAAGTTAAACAACTGAAAACTTAAGAACAGGAGTCAGCTACTCAAAGGTTAGCTACAATATTGGTTTTAAAAATGTTTTAGAAATCACAGTATTTAAAGGAAGCAGTTGTTTTGTCTGAATTTCAGTGAGGGACATCTAGCTATTTCTATTTAATTTGTATCTGAATTTTTTTTTTTTTTTACTGATCAAGATATTTGGATTTTCAAATAATTGTATAAACGAAATTATCATAGCATAATGAACCTATTGTAAAACTATCCTTGCTTTCCTATTTCCCATTTGTCTTCCATTCTCTCAAATGTTTGCGTTGTCTCCTACTGAAATACGCAAATAAATGAACGTTATCGAATAAGGATATACATAAAGGGGAGGATATCTCTATGGATGTCACTAATGTTTCCTCACAGCTTATAATTTCAACTTGGATAAAAGACTAAAGTCTAACCAAGACCTGATGAGTCTAAAATTATCCTCCTTATTTGCTCCTGGATGTTCTCCTTTTATGATTCCACGGTCCTCTGCATTTACTTACATATTTGACAAGCTATCTATTTAAATTTGTTATTATTCTTTGGAAGGAGTCACATGTACTTTTTACAGGTGTTTGTCTTTTCTCTTTCATTAAGCTGGAAAATCCTCCGGGGACTAGGCCCTAGCCATGGCTGAGAGACACAGCACTTTGTTCAGTGGTGGGCTTCTTCTGTGTTGGGTGATGGTTGACAGGCAGAGCATGCATTGTTTCTTGTTTGTTTTGTTTTTACTAGGACAATGGATTCCAGAAGTCATTATCCTATGTGTGACCTCCTCCTATCCTGTTTCCCAGTCTCCCATGTTTGTTGCTCTTGGATAGGAAGAGCAGTAGGTGATCCCACTCTGAGTGGCTGAGTTATTCACCTAAGGTAAAGACTGGAACCACAGAAGAGATACTAGGCAGTTGTGCTGAGGGCTAAAAGAGTTTGGACTTATGGACAGGAGGAAAGAATTCATGTCAGTTTGAGAGCAAAGGTCTATATTCTTGTTCTAATATAAACATAGAATTTTTGCCAGATCTTTGCAAGCATTCCACATGTGGATGGATGATGGAGATGGGCTGAATTTTATTATTACGTTCCAAGTCCTCTCATTGTTAAGGCAATATAAATATAGATAGCGATCTAACAACTATCTGTACAAAGCAAGAAGCAGAAATAAAAGGAATGAAGATGGAAAGATTTCTTAAAGACAATTAAAGCTAACGGAAGCTACATTGTTTGAAAAACTTAAACTCTCTTGTCGTTACGAATGCAAAGTGCAGCACATTTTAAGTTTTAAGCTGTTTTTATTCTTAGGAATTTTTACTTCCCCTTAGCCAAATCCTCATTTATTTGCGTGCTGTTCTCTTTCCTAGAACATCCGTATTTTATAGGAACTGAAATGCCTGGTTAACCAAAGTGAAGAATCCAAGACAGAGAGTTCCAACATGAAGCATTTCCAGACTGGGTCAGAAACAGACAAGACGAGCAAAGAAGCAGACTGAGTAGGCAACTTTTTGGCTGCTATGGTTGGAAGCAACACTCACAACCAATTTACAGCTTAGCAAAGTTTGGGTTTCAAAGCATTCCCTGTCGCCTCATTCATTAGTAAGGCTGTAAGGTTAACAACAATGAGCCTCCAGTGCACCTGTGCGTCAGTCCCACCAGTGAGACTCTATCTGCTGAGATCTTCTGACAACACAACACAAAATAAAAAAAAACACAACATTTTAGATTGCTTCTGCCTAATGTGTAATAGGACCCCTGGTGGCGCAGTGGTTAAGAGCTCGGCTGCTAACCAAAAGGTCAGCAGTTCGACTCTACCAGCCGCTCCTTGGAAACCCTATGGGGCAGTTCTACTCTGTCCTATAGGGTCGCTATGAGTCGGAATGACTAGATGGCAATGGGTAATTTGTAATAGCTACTGAATTGCCTCCTTAGTCAAGGACATTCTAAGAGAAGCATAGAAGGGCCGGGACTGTTGTGATGGACTATTCCTTGACTAAATAGAAAGAGTGTTTTATGGAGGAGGGAGGAATCAGGGTACCCCAAAATAAACTGGAACAAAGTAATTTCATAATCAACTTCATATTTGAAAAGAATAGAAGATCTGTACCTCCAAAGAGTTATTGTTTCATCACAGTGCTTCATGGTGGAGTTTGGGGGAGCAAATTCCACTGACAAACGGGGACACAGATACATTATACTGAAACCAGGGATATTATTTATTTACTTTTATGCCCATTAAATATTCCTGAAACCTTTAAATTGTGCAGAATGTCCCATCTTCCAGATGGCTACCTTTTCCTTTCTTCTTCATCATCTTTTTTTTTTTTTTTTAATTATTTTTAAAAAATCAAACTATTCCATGCAGGTGTTACTTCTGATTTTGAATAGCACAACTCTCTTATCATCCTTCTGGGAGGGGAAAAACAGAGGTTTCCAGAGTATTTTCAATAAGGCAAACCCAAGTCTTAACTGGACGTGGTCCATCCATCATCAGTGTTTCTAGATCCACTAACTGTGTCTGTTTACAATACAAAGGTGACTGCATTCTCTTCTGGACTAGAGTGATATATGCTACATTCACCTGTGATACTTATGCAGGTGGACTCTGTTCCAGGATTGGGGTTTTATGAGGACCTTCTCAGTGAGATGTCTTTTAATTGCAGGAGTTATATTAACCCTTGTGGAAAGATCCTTTTCTCAAGTGTCAGCCCAGCCCCCTGATCATCCCTCCTCAAAGCCACAGTAAAATCAGCATGCTTTTAGTAGGGCAGGAATGCTAACATCCCAGATCTGAGAGAGGTAATTTGGTCCAAAATGCACTCCAGTAATGTTTATGTTTCAGATAAAGTGCTTACAACGCTGTCACTGCCCTTTTGACCGCCATTTCCGTGTTCTTGAGCTTCTAGGTGAAAGTGATATTTGAATCCAAATCTTTACTTTTAATAGCTACCAGAGTGAACTAGGATTTCAGTCCAATCTTATCTCTGGTATAAACATCCTGTTACCATTCATATCTTGGAGAAAATGATTAAATACATTCTACCAAGGGAACAAAATGGAAGCTCGTTGGAAACTTTATTCTTTCCTCCCTCCCTTCCTCCCTCTCCCCCTCCCTTCCTTTCTTCTTTCCTCTCCTCTCCCCTCTTCTGCTCTTTCCTCCTCTCCTTTTCTCTTCTCTTTTTTGCTTTGGTCATTCAGTTGTTCTTTCATCGTTTTCAAATTCCTGAGTACATATGTTTCAGACTAAGGGCAAAGAATTTTCACAAGTTAGAACAAGTATACCCTATCTGCAGTGGCTGCTGTGAGGAGGGAGTTATGCAGGGGAGGGAGGGGGTGAGGGAAAGGGGGTGAGCTCTGGAATTACAGTCCTATGTGCTGAAAAGCTTATTTTTCACTCTGGGTCCTCCAGTGTGGATAGCATCTCCATCTGAGCCATAGGGGATGGAAAACAACCCTTTAACCTACTGCAAAATGTACCAGAAAAGATGCACTTCCTGGTTCTCTTGAAAACAAAATCTGCTCAAACCTTTCAAGATTTCTGACCTCAGATAAGCAGGACCACATGTTCTGTTGTTGACTGTATTCTTCTAACCCCTCATCACCCTAAATGTAGCAAGTTAAGGGGTGAGAACAGAGAGGGAGGATAACTTCAGACTACTTACCTGATGTGGCCTCTGGAGGTATGATGAGAAATCACAGGTTGAAACTGAGGCCAAAATGCATCTTAGTATC